AAGTCTTTTCTTGCATCACCTTCATAGGTGCATCCAAAGTCTTTCACAAGCATCTGTTCTGTCTTTTTCTGATTTCAGCATGCTTTGCCATCATCGTTGAGTCCATTATTAGGATTTGAAATAGTCCAATCACATCTTTCTCATGTATAATCGTTTTTTGGAATGATCTTTAAAAATAGGTTCCTTGTGGGGGGGGGGGGCATGACAGCCAAGATGGCTGGTCGCACAATCTAAGAGCTCCTGTACTGAAGAGCATAAACGGGCTACTACAGAGCAACTTACTAACGATGGCAACAAACGGTGCCCGATGACCGACCCAGGATACAATGAGATCACTGATGATGCCTCACTGATGATGCCTAACAAGGCTGAAACGATCGTCTGGGGTTGCTGTATCTCTCGTGCAGAGAGAACTTGCTGGCATTTCAGATCTGGACTGCCCATATGAGTGGGACCAGTCTGATATGCTTCAGATATGTTCTCTCTGTAATGGCACAAGATGAGCTAAAACCAGAGTTCTGAGCGGGGACCCACCGAAGGGCAGGCTATTTCAGCTGCTGTCCGTTCTCAGAATACTTTTGCGACCCGTTTTTTGCTCTGCTTTGCCATTATCGTTGAGTCCATTATTAGGATTTGAAATAGTCCAATCACATCTTTCTCGTGTATAATCGTTTTTTGGAATGATCTTTAAAAATAGGTTCCTTGTTTGGGGGGGGGGGGGCATGACAGCCAAGATGGCCGGTCACACAATCTAAGAGCTCCTGTACTGAAGAGCATAAACGGGCTACAGAGCAACTTACTAACAATGGCAACAAACGGTGCCCGGGGACCAACCCAGGATACCATGAGACACAGAATGGTACCGATCCGGTTCCGATGCAATGCAGAAAAACCCATGCCGACCATGCGGCCTACATCAGAGCAAAGCCTGTGGTCCGGGGGAGGGGGCCGATCACCCGGCACAGGACACGCTCACAAGTGAGAACTTCACACAGCCCTGCTACCCCCACTCTGGACCGGCAGGGGATATCCCAGTCCTCGCTGGGGGCGACTACTCCCACAATATTGCCTGACCAAGCGACGATGTCTAAAGCAAAATGGGGAGGGCAAGGCCCAAGCAAGATGACAACACGGAAGCAACCTACAATAAAGCCTCCCAAGCATACACGGGAGTTCTATGAACGGCTCCGAACCAGCCTCTGGACACAGCTAAATACCCGGAGACTGATCTTCAAGCAGGTAATAAGAGCGGTAGCGGGATGGATCCACCCGGCAATCCGACGCCACCTGGGAGTAAATCCCCCTCGAGCCAAAACGGCCCCCCGACAGAACCGGAGCCGAAGGTCAACACAGCGGGAAACAGTGCAAGGTTGCTTGGACACCAGCGCCAATGCCCCCAAGCACCAGAGCGAGACCCGTCGGTGCACCCAACCCGCTCGCCTTTCAGCGGCCCCAGCAACCTATGCCCAGCGTGACATGCTCCCGCACAGGAGAACTCATGGTACAGACCGCAACGCTGACTGGGAGGCGGGGAGGTCGGTTACAGGAGGGATTCCCAGGCGGATGACTCCTCCACAACTCACAGAAGGGAGAACCTTCTAACCGGCTCGGAGCCGAAAGGAGGGAGAGTGCTGCCCCCATCATCCCACGACCCTGGAGAAGCCATCAGCCTGCAATCAGACCATACCTAAACTTGGTATCGGCTAAAGCAAGCACTGGACTGAATACCTGAGGAGGGCGGCCACCGGCTGCACTGGACACTGAACACGCACATAACATCCGGTGATCTCCCCCTCTATTGACTCTTACGCACTGTGCAATCTGCCAGTAACCTTTATTTGTTTTACTTTTATATGTTTTACATGCTTAGCCAGCCATACTGCAACCCTAGGCATCTCATCTCTTCTTGCACTTAAGTAGCCTTAGATTATATGCCTAGACCCACAGTTTGGCCTGCCTACCATGCAAATACTAATAAGCACTTGCCTCACAAGACATATACACTAGCAAAGTACTGTGCATGTTACTAACCTAGGTCAGTCATGTATATTAACCTCTTGTAACCACAACTCTTGCTATTGTGATCTACATTTACCAATAACCTGATCTAATCAATATTACTCTAACGTTTAAAAAATGTGCTGAAAATCCTAATGTTCCAACTGTTTCGCTTGAAAATGTGCTTGAGGAATGCTATTGGGGCACCAAGAGCTTGTATGTTATGTTACTCAAAGCACAATAAAAATAAAGAATTAAAAAAAAAAAATAGGTTCCTTGTGAAATACCAGTTTAGGTCACATTAGCAATCATTTCACTGTGAGCTGTGTCTCTCCTTTTGAGATGGTTCTTGGAGGTAGTCCTCACGATCATAGAACTTGTATTATGTGCAATCCAATTCAGTTCAGGTGCTTCTTGCTTATTAACATAATCCCAATGCAGTTTTAAAATGACAGTTAGGGTTGATGTTATGATAATGCTGCAGATTGTAAGAAGGAGACACCATAACCAATTTTTTAGCATCCTTTTGCTTGGATTTTTGCATTCCTTTCTTACTGTATAAGATAATTCAGGTACAGTCTGTTTTATCCAGAGTCTTTCTGATAATGTTGATTCATTTTTCATATATTCCATGTTAACTGTGAATGTATCACGTCTGTCTGTTCATCCTTCTCCTTCACATTTGCAGATCCAAATATCAGATCATGGTTCAGTCTGTTATGTGGCTATGATTCTGGTGGCTGTGTTCTGGTGGTATTCCTGTCATCCTTTGTTTGTTTTAACTTGCCTTCTTTAACAGCATCGATTGTGTCAGTCAGTGGTTCTGTGAACATCTTGGAAGTATTTAGCAGGTTGTAAAATATCAAAACTTACTGTTCTCTGTTGGCTCTGATTGTTCTCTGTAATAAAAGTTCTTAGAGTCACCCTCTCCAGGAGAAACTGGCCAACAGTAGGAAAAAGGTGATGATGCATGGTGAGGTGGGCTGGAAAAAAGAATTCCCTAAATTTCTCTAATAGAACCAATGGTTCTAAGCTCTCCCTGGTGCAGAAATATGATTATCAGTGAAAAATGTGTAACATTTCATATGGTGTCTCACCATTTGTATCATCAGGTATGTTGTGAATGCTCATCTGTACCATAGGAATAAATAGATACCACTGTGTGGGGGCAAGCAACTAGTAACTTGGTTAATAGTAATTTAACCTCAAAATTTCCCCAGACCACAACCCCACTACTTTGGGGGTGGTTGGCGCACTGAAATCCCAAAGTAACCCAAATGTGGTTGCCCAGTTTTGGGTTTCCTTTGCAGTAACTGCAGGACCACCATCCAGGTGGATGGTCCTGGGATTACCAAATGCATACTAAGAAAGTGGGACTAGCAAACGTGGTATCAGAGGTTGCACTTCGCACAGGATATATCCAAGTAAACCTGGTACATGCATCAACACATACAAAAACATATTCATAACCATGAGATGTTGGCAAACTTCCAATATATAGCAATTCAAAAAGTATGTTAGATATGAATATTTCAATAAACAGTACATTAGTAATGTGGCAATAAGCAAATGCTTACGATTACTAAACACATGAATTACAGTATTTTCCATATTGGGCCACCAATATTCCTTTTCAGGAGTCAGAAAATCTATATCTATCTATATGAGCTTGTCCTAGCCATGAATAAGCTTTTAGGGCAAGTCTCTCTTTCCTCTATAGGAAGAACAACCAACATATTACCTTCAATGGTTATTATATAATTAACCCCTCTAAATGATAGGAGTACTTATGCGGATAACCAGGTGGATTAGGTCTGGTTATCCTTGCAAGTATAAACTCTGCATCATGACTGAGAGGTAGGGTATGCTTTTGTGATCCACTTTAACAGAGTAGCGTTGGTAGATACATTGCATCAAAGTGCCTGTTATTGACCAACTATATGAGGAGAGGGATCAAGCTTTGTTATAAGCATGTCCATACACGTATTACAATGCCAGGCTTTCAATTTGTTTTCACAAAACAATATGCAGTTGTGGATATAAACTCACGACGTATCGTAAGCAAAACTGTTTGAACACCAGACTGAGACTTGAGAAATCAGTGAACAGTGGACCAAAATAGATAAATGAAATCTTTTACAATTAATATACTTTCTTTAAATTACTATAGTTTGTGTATTAACAATAGAATCTTAAAGTAAAACAATGTGCATCTAAAAGCCAACTTTTAGTGTGCATAGGAATTACAAGGCCGTTCATAGTGTGAGATAAAGAACAGCTTTTTAAAACTGAATAATCTGTGAACACAAAATGACCTTGCGCTGAAATTTCACTTGCAGGAAAAAAAACAAAACAAAAAAACCCCCTTTTTTCTTTTTTTCTTTAGTAAATTAATTATATAAACGTAGTTAGAACCTCCCTCAAAGTCCAGATGACTTTGCAAGAAACATGTCGTCCTTAAATACTGGGTAAGTCTATTAAACAGTGAAATAGCATTTTTACCAAATGTATTATTTTGTCACAGCTATAATGTGCAGTATAACAAACTATTTTATGAGTGTTGTGCAAACTGTTCATTAAAAGCCAGTGGTCTGGGGGCGGGGCCTGACTGTCATGGAGGGAAGACGTGCCTGACAGAAGCTCCCTACAAATTTCTGTGAAAACGAATCTAAAGGCACCCTCAAACCACTGTAAACGGCAGATAATGACCCCACACGACTTACTGGCTATCAGCCCCTACGGTAAACCGGTAATGCGGACCGTGGGTGGACGACAGACGGCAGGCAAAACCCGTGAGGGAATGAGGCCTGGAGTGCACTGGACGGGAGCAGCGGCCGAGCTCCCAGCCTGGAGCAGCCCGGGGACTGAATGCTACAAGTGGGTTCCCCGCAACCCCCCCCCCTTGGGACCGGTGGGGGAGATCACGGTCCACCCCGGGAGTCCTCCCAGATAGGGCAGCAACGAAAGGGAAAGCGGGCGGAGAGCCAAGAGACTCACCAAAGATGGCGGAGACCAAGCGGCCTGACAGCTGCCATGCAACACGGCAGTGCTCCTTGATCAGCCTGGAGCAAATCCTCACTGACTTCTGGCTCAGAATAGAGCTCAAGCTTCGGCAGAGGACACAGACAATGCTGGCCACAAGCTGCACACCCCGCTGTCCACCGCCCGACCTACAGCAAAGGCCAACAGCCCTGCTGCAGCCCAGAAAGGCGGGAAGGAGAACCAAACTGCCATCTTACCGGCACAGAATGGCGAAACTAAAAATGCCGCCGAAACCAAGAGCTTGTACACCAAGAACACCATCCATCCTGAGAACAGCCATATCCCGGCTCAAAGACCCACCTCAACAACTCCCATCACGCCCAGAGATCTACCGCATCGAAACACCACCGCATGGGAACCCATGGCGGGCTGCTGCACAACCCCAACGAGGAATCGGATGATCGGATGATCTGATGAAACGCACCACACCCCTGGCACCCTGATTAGGAGACCCGACACGGCACACCACAAAAAGATACCGTGAAATACATCCTGCCGACCTGCCCAGAGATGGACTCCATCCTGGGGGACCCCAGGGGACTATCCAGCATTGTAATAGCCTACTATATAGCACATCCCGGCAGCGGTAGCTAATACATTCCTGAACACAGCCTGACAGATCAAGATATTAACCGCTTGAAATGTATTACTCTTGTTATGCCTACAGTTTTATTTTTTTTGTTTTTATTTTCAGGCGCAAGCACACAAACGCTTTTTTTTTTTTAAGTTGCTTGGGCAATTCACCTTGCCTAGTAGCACTCAGATCTACACTAGCCATCACAAGATCACACAACATGCTTAACCGGAGTTTAACATGTGTCTAGCAGGCTGCCACTCTTGACTATCACTCAGGCAGTAAACACACGACATATATCACACCCTACAGCGGTCACCATACTATACTGCTAGCGAATATGTAGACGAAAGCATGCCTGCCTGTTACTAGTTATCTGTTTAATAATAGACCCGGTCAGTCAATATAGCCTGCATACTATACTGACCAACATTTCAATCTTGCCTATTAATCTTGTTACCGCGGTAACACGTACTAAGCGTGGTCTTTATCGCTGCTTGTTTTATGCCTGCATTTATTTTATTCCTGTGACTGCAATTCAGACAACACGACTAGCCTGTGTATTAAAACCCTTAAAAACTGTGCCATTTTCTCATGCCATGTATATGCTCCATATTGTTATCGCTGTTTGCCTATGCCGTCGTGGCACCATGAAAATCTGTATTGTCTTGTGCACAGAAAAAATAAAGAATTAATAAAAAAATAAAAAAAAGCCAGTGGTCTAGCAAGCCATAGAATATTTATTTATTCTTTAAAGCTCTGACCTCAATCGGCAAAACAATATTGTAATGGTGTCCATTGCAATCTGCTTTTATTTACTTGCTAGATAAGTAAAGTTCTAAATATGCTCACAGATTTCGTGGGCAATCACAAATCCCAAAAACAAAAACTTTGCATTTATGCTAAACATGCCTGTTGTAAACGGATTCTGTATATTTCTTGTCATAAGTACTTGTACTTAAATCTGTTTAACAAAGCTGTTTATATTGTGGTAAAAAATTAAAAAAAATGTAAATATATATATATATTTATTATTATTATTATTTTTTACTTTTTTTTTTTACATTGATTAATTTTTAAAGATACCTGCATATTTAATTATATATCCTTTATATGTATTTAAGGCTTAATTATCTGCAAATTAGAATTATATACAAAATATGCATGCTCTGGGTGTTCTCATGATTTATTTTCTACATTTTAAAGTCTGGAATCAGATGCCTTTAGGGCTGAGCACCGCTTTCAGCCACCCAGTTTCAGAGGCTTCTTTGGAGGTGACCACAGAAAAGAATATGAAGAACAATATGGGACAGGAGGGAGAAAATCAATATGAAGTGGGAGAAACAATATGGGGCAGGGAGGGGAAGAACAATATGAAGTAGAGGAGTGTATAAAACAATATGGGGCAGGAGGTGGGGGAGAACAATATGGGGCAGGAAGGGGGCGCTGAAACACCGCGGGGCAGGGGAAGGGGGGTGCCAAGTCAGTAACAGTGCTGGTGGGGGGAAGAAACACATGGGGCGTGGGAGGGGGGAAGAACAATATAAAGGGAGGGAAGCAAACAACAAGGACAGGGGAGGGGAAGAACACCATGGACAGGAGGGGGGAGGCTGAAACAACATGGACAGAGGGAGGAAGAAATACCATGGACAGGGAGGGGAAGAACACTATAGGACAGGCGAAATGGGGAGAAACACCATGGGACAGGAGGGGAAGAACACCCATGGGACAAGAGGGGGGGGAAGAAACACCATGGGACAAGAGGGGAAGAAACACTATGGGACAAGAGGGGGGGGAAGAACACTATGGGACAGGAGAGGGGGGGAAGAACACTATGGGACAGGAGAGGGGGGGAAGAACACTATGGGACAGGAGAGGGGAGGAAGAACACTATGGGATGCAGTGGTGGATCCAGGGGCGGGGCAACGGGGCAATTTCCTCCCTCCCCCCCCGAGAAAACCGACAGTCTCCCTCTCCCCTGCCAGCACATGCAGGTGCCAGCCCGGCAATGTGCCTGTGGACCGGAGGGGAGATCAGAGATCTCCCTCCCCGGTCCGCAGGCACGGTGCTGGCAGCCGGCAGGGGAGGGAGAGGTAGGAGAGAGGACCCGGGACCTCAGCCTGCAGCTCCTCCGGGTCC